GGAGACTCATTACCCTGCCCCCGCGTGCGCCCCACACCACCCTGCAGAGCTGGACAGGAACCTGAGAGGGAGTCACCGAAATGAGCACTCAGCTTTGGCCCGGCTTGCTCAGCCCCGAGGCTGGTCTGTTACAGGGGGGCTGACTTCCGGGTCACCCACACTCTCAGCATCTGCCGGTTCCCTCCTACCTCCTTGTCCCATGCTCCCCACCCAGCTCCCACAGACCTTCCCGCTCTTTTGTTGTTGATGTCGTTGAATAAAACATCTAAATACACAGAAAAGGCACAGAAGGTTTGAGTCATCTTAAATCCCACACCGTGGGGACAATGTCTGCTGCAGGTCGGTGACTGTCCTCCCCACTGTGGCTCCCTGGGGGCCGCCCACGCCCACATCTTCAGCCTTCACCATGACCTCCAACCTGCAGTTTTGCAAATCTGTAAAATGAACTTACAAGTTTATAAACCCAGCTGTCCTTGGAAAACAGAGAAATCGGGCCCTCCTGCATTCTGGTCCCTTTGTGGTGACAATCACTGAGAAGCAGCTGCCCACTGAACGGGGGGGCTGTCCTTTCCAGAGCCCCCACTGTTCCTGCTGTGTCCCCGGGGAGCCCACTTCCTGCGGTGACTTTACCCCTCTGACCCTGAGGAGCTCAGGTTGGCCACGCTGCTCTGAGCTGACACTGACTGAAAGCTGACCCCAGGTCTCCCATGCTACACTCCGCCAGGCTCGACTCATCCCCACACCAGTTATACATCATTGAAGTGCCGAGGGGCAAACCGCAGATCCAAGAGGTAACATCCATTGCCCGAGGCCATGGTGAGAAAATGGTGAAGTGGCAGAGTCAGGACAGGAAGCCAGGAAGTTCCATCCCCGGTGCTACATGAGAACAGACATCTGCTTGGTTCTACACTGAGGACCATTTTCCATGTTCATCAGTATCAGCTAGGATTATCCAGATAATAAAAACAAGAGAAAGAGAAGACAAGAATTTGCCCCCCAAAATAAACAAATAAATAACAAGAGCGGAGGTCTTTTCCTTCTGTTGGTCCAGGTTCACTCTTTAAAGAGCTGCCCTTCTTGTGATTCTAGTAGGGACATCCATCCCTCTCACCAACCTCTGGCAACAGGGCTGAGTATGTGACCAGGAATCTGACCAATCACAGTGTTCCTCCTGGGCAGCTACAAGGATTGGACCAGGGATGTGCATATGACCCAGACCAGGCCAATCAGTGTTTCCTGAGTTTTTTGGGGGGAGGGGTGGTACTTCCTGTCTCTAAATCCAAAGTGACTTGATTCAAGCTGGGAGAAGAGCGGGAAAGACACAGAGAGGAGGGAAAGAGAGAGAGAGAGAGAAAGAGAAAAGGCAAGGACATTTGAGTCTCTGGTGTCTGTGCTCCCAAATCCAAAGCCGTGCCTGACTTTCCAGGACAGAGCCAGTAAATTCCAGTTTAAACCAATCTGAGTCACATTTACTTACAACCTAAAGGAGGTGATCATGAGTTCACCACGATCACTATTCACTTTAATGACTCACACTGGCCCGTTTTCCTGTCATAGCACTACTTATTAACCATTTACTCTCGGGGGACCTCGGAAGCTCCCAAGTCACCACTGCCAGGGATGCTGGGAGGAGCCCAGTGCTGGGGCCACCCATTCCTAGGCAGCAGCTTGAGCATTGTCGTGTGACCCACCGTCCTCGACCTCCATCATCCCTTCCTGGGTTTAGAGAGTCCCGGCCACATGCGTGGGAGGAGAGGGCTTTGTCTTGTGCCGGTGCTGAATGGCACGTGGCCCAGTGGGCCACCAACGACATCAGCTGAATGAGCACAGTAGTGAGCGGCTGGGTGGGTCATGAAGAGAGCTCAGGTGGTGCAGCTGAGGATGGTTTCAGGGACAGATTCTGCTCCTAACTCACTCTGAGAGTCCCCTCCCTCTCTGGGCCTCAGTTTCCCAACTGTGAAGGAGGTCATTGAACGAAACCACTTCTCTGCTCCTGGCTCCCCCGCCCCTGAGCCACCTCCGGCAGGATGTGGAATCCTGAGCTTTCAGACAAACCGCAAGTGTCACCACCACGGTGCTGCTATGATTCCATCCGGGGACTGGGTCCTCCCATCTCTCCCTGGGGACAGAGAAGGGCAAGGAGCTTCCTCCTAAATGTGCCAAGTGGAGACCTGAAGTCACAGCTCAAGCCTTGGTTCTGGGCTTTGCCTCTCCCTGGCAAGTGACCAAACCTCTCTGAACTCCATTTCCGCATAAGGGTTATAATAACACACTTCACTGGGTGGTGGAAGGGATTAAATAAAACGATGAACAAGCACCTGCCAGAGCCTGGCACACAGAGTGCTCCATTGAGTGGTAGTGGTGCTCCCCGAGAGGCTTTCCAACCCATTGGGGCACTGCCATGTGATGTCCCAGGCCAATGTGAGCCCTCCTCCCTAGGACACAGATGGGAAACAGAGCCCCATGTAGGGCAGAAACACCGACCACAGGCCAGAAAGAGTTTTAAAGGAGCCTCTTCCCACCTTCATCCCGTCTTCCATCTGGAATTTAGGCACAATAGCTGGAGATGAGGCAGCCACTTTGGACCATGAAGAGACAAAGATAGAAGCAAAAAATTAGAGGAGTCTGGCTGCATAACCAGGCTGCTGCATGTCCCCGTGCCTCTACTTCAGGTTTCTTTCCTGTACAACAAAAGCAAATCTCTGATTTCTTTAAATGACATCATTTGGGTTTTCTGTTTCAGATAAATAACACCAACAACTGTGTCCATTTCGCAGATGATAAAAAAAAAAAAAGACTCAGAGGGGAAGGGAATGATCACATAGCTAGCAAGTGAGAAGTCAAGATTTGAACCCAGGCCCCAGTGGCTGGCTCCCTGCAGTTGATCCCAACAAACTCTGCTGCCCACCATGAGAGAGTCCCTCTCTCCTGGGCGGGACTCACGAGTTGTTCAGCAGGACCAGGCAGGGAGGGCAGAGGGAGTAAGGCGCATCACAGACGGCTCCTCACAGAGGAGGAGGCGTCTGAGTCTTGGGAACGGGGCAGCGATAACAACTGAATCCCTCAAGCAGCCCTCAGACAGGGAGCCTGGTGCCCAATGTGGCCCAGGGAATGTCAGGGTCCCGGGTTCCCCCAGGGCTCCGTGTCTCATGAGGAGGACTTAGCAGATGGCTAGGCTCACGACAGGAAAGTACCCAGAGCCAGAGCTGCCAAGAGGCCCACAGGGACGTGCACAGGACCCCAGACCCAGCCACCAAGGGTCTGATCCCAGCAGAGCCACCGGAACATGCTTGGTCCCTCCAGCGGCAAACAGTGACTGCAGGAAAAGCAGGGGCCGCAGAGACCGCTGTTTGCCCAAGCGGCAGAGCCCAAGAGTCACTGTCGCTGGTCGGGCAGGGGTGGGGAGCCGTGTTCAGGTCCAGGTCCCCACGTCAGCCCCTGACAGCCTGGTTTCCCCGAGGCAGCAGCCCTGGGCCTGCAGCATCTCCGCCTCTCTCCACACTTGTCCGTTTGAGATGACCCAGGAAACAGTGTGTGACACCTCAGGCCCCATTGTGCTAAGAAAAACCTAGTTTATCATGAAGGTCATCTCAACAAGCTTCCCCGGAAAATAACTGAGTTATGGAAGAAGTAGGAGAGGGGCACAGGTTCAAAGTATCTGTCCGTTAACATTTTTATTAAAAGTAAGTTTTTAAAAAGCAGCAGAAGTTACTATTTGCACAATTCACTGGGGCAGCCATTTGAGGTAGGCTCATCTTAATGGTTCTCATATGCCCTGCCCTGAGCTGGTCACAGCCAGGCCTGGTATCAGGTGTCCTCTTGGTCCTATGCCCCCCCAGCAGCTGGCCCAGGCTGGCCCGGGTGGCAGCTAGGCAGGAGCCCAAGAGCCAGAGTGGGAGTTGCAAGGACTTTCAGAGCTTGGCCTCCAAAGTTCCATCATGAGCCTGTGTAGTGGTGCAGGTCTGTAATCGCAGAAGTGTGGAAGGCTGAGGCAGGAGGATCACATGTTCCAGGTCCACCTGGAAAATTCAGTGAGACGATGTCTCAAAAAATAAAAAAGCCTGGAGATACAGCCCAATACGAAGGCCCCAGGTTCAGTCCCCAGTACCGAAAGCAAAACAAAACAAAAAAATTCTGTGTGCGTGTTCCAACGCACACAGGAAAGCTCAAGAACCCCAGATTTCAGAGGGAGGAGAAACGGGCTCCACCTCTCGAGCGGACGCCGGTCTCCCCATACGAGCAGGCTGTCTAGGACACAGAGCTGACCCTGACCTCTAGGACGTCCAGACGGATGGGAAAAGGGACAAATAAACCCACACGCACCACGGAGCTACAAGAAATGAACGTTTATTTTTCACACTGCACCTTTTCTGTAAAGGGTTTGAATGGCCCTGCCAGAAAGGTACAAGCAATAAAACTTGGAGTTTAACCAAGAGAGAAAGTAAAAGCCTACTCTAGAAGGAAAAAGCGTTTTTTGAGTACTGTGTCCCAAGCACTCACACCCACTTGGCTCCATCCTTTCTGCCTGCCTGGGGTGAAAACTGCCACTCCTCTCCTGGGCAGACAAAGTGTGCTCACCACAGGGAAGCGACTAGCCAAGTCCACAAGGTCCTGTGTGACACAGCCGAGAGCCGAACACCCCGTGTACTGTCATAGAACAGCTGTGGGTGCAGCTCGGCTTTGAGAGCGAGTTTCCCAGCAGGCTGGGGGCAAAGGGAAACTGGACGTATTATGCAGTTTGTCTCCAGACAGCAAAAAGGCAGGCATGTCTTTGAAGGAAAGCAAAGCCTCCTAGCACTGCATTCATTTTTTGCTCAAGTGGGAGTTCACAAAAGAAAACTTATGGGGTAGAATCTGGGGGTGTCAGGACGATACAGGTTGGGCTGTCCTTTGCCCTATGTGCAGGGGGCGGCACATGCCCATGCTCCCCCAGAAAAGGCTGTGTCCTCATTGACTTCTTCCGCTCTGGTTGCACAAGTCCTGAGCATGTGTGTGTTTCTATTGCACTCTGTCCCTTCCCACACCCCAGACACAAAGTCCTTGCTACTCGAAATTCAGCGCTTTTAGGAAGTGCAGCATCATCAGAGGCTGCACAGACCCCTGCAGGCAGTGCAGACTTACTTCCTCCCCACCCGGACTGGATGGGAGGGGCAGGCAGGAAGGGCCTGTCACAGCCAGGTGACACGTTCCGCCCCGGCCAGCCCCAGCAGCAGCTGGGCCAGCAGCGGACAAGGTGCGCAGCCACCGCTCCCCGGGGGCCTCAGAATGGACCTGTGCCACCCAGGTAAGCATGGGCTGAGGCTCTTGCCTCAGCGTCCTCTTCCGTAGAGCAGGGACCTGGTGGCTGTCACACAGGTGCTGGAAGGGAGAGCAGGGGAAACGAGGACCCTGGAGAGTGCAGGTCAGATCCAGCAGCTTGGGGCTGGCGTCATCCCTGCCCCTAGGCAGTTTTGCCCCCCCCCACCGGAGGTGGGACTCCTGACAAGTGATGTGACCACAATGTCAGTACAGGAAGGACAGGAGCGGCACAGTAGGATGAGGCCACAGGGAGAGGGTGCTGGGGAGCAAACATGCTGGAGCTGAGCCCCGCAGGGGACAAGAGATTGCAAGTTCCATGCAGAAGCAGCCACACAGAGGCCCGGAAGGGGGGGATGGTGACTCGCTGTGATAAAGGTGACAGTGTTGGTGGCAATGGTGCCTGTCTGGGTGTTGCACCAGCCCTGAAGCCCCTTTTGGGCCCTCAAGGCTTGATGGAGGCCTTTGGGGAGCAGGGGACACTTCCTCAGGCCAGCAGAAGGCCAGATGTGGACAGCAACGGGGCCCAACTACCACCCCCAGTGACCAGGACAGCAGCTCTGGGGAAAAGAGGACCAGGGCTGCTGAGCGGCTCTCTGGGAGGGAGATGGGACCAGAGAGAGGGCGGAGCCCCGATTATCAGAACTTCGGCCTGGAGCTCCAGAAGGCAAGGGCAGCGGAGCTGGCTGGTCCCTGGGTTTAACAGAAGCACAGGCTTTCTTCAGACAAAACCGAACACGAAGCAGCCAGGCCGCCCTTGGTATCCCCCAGGGAGAAGCCTGGACTCTGATGTTCAAGGCCAGGAAAGAACTTTCTCAGGGAGGGAGAGGCAGGACTCTCCCCCCAGGCCGCTTCTCCTCCTGGGGGCTTTGGGGACAGATGGCTCCTACCCACGAGGGTCAGTGACCATGGCTTAGGGCACAGCAAGAGGCAGGAAGAGATTGAGTGCGATGCAGGGCCTGATTCGCCAATCCCCAGCAGGCCAGTGACACCATGACAAGTGGCCCTCCCGCACCGCGGCCTGCCTGGTCACCACTATGGATTTGGTTTCTTTGGGTCCTAGCACCCTGAGATTACAGGAACCGTTGCCCCGTGTCACAAGTAGGGAAACTGGGACTCACAAAGGTAAACTGGCTGGCTTTCTGGAGGTCAAGTGGCTGAGCAAGGACAAGGGCTGGAGAGAGGAGAGGACCCCGTGTTGGCCCAGGCAGTGGGGAGGACCTGGGCACCCCAGGGCCAGAGAGGGATCTGCCTTGCTGCTGGCTGACCAGGAAGGAGGGGGCTGAAGAACTCAGTGTGGGCGCTGTGGGGAGACCCAGACCCCCAAGGGCTGGTTTGGCCGTTCATCCCTCCCTCCCTCCTCTGAACCAGTCCTCCATGCAATGTACAGGGTGCAGGAGCTACAGGTCCAGGAGATTGGGGTTCAGGGGGAAGAGAGACACAGATGCTGTAGCACTCTGAGCCTGACCCGGGTGGGGAGGAAGCGTCTCTCACCAGGGCGGAGATCTGGGAAGCCCTCCCGGAGGAGGTGGGCTATCGCCCCCAGTTGCCCAAGCCGGATGGCCAGGTGATGTCACATATCTTCACTTGGAATTGCATCACAACAGGGGCTGGGAGTCAGCAGATGTGCCTGGGACCAGCTCTGTGCCAGCCCCTTCCTGATGCAGGCCTCGGTTTCCCCATCCTCACCAAGCAAAAAGGTTCCCCCCAGCGGGGCTGCCTCTGACCTCTGCCACGGACATGTGACATCCGTGGGAGCAGGTCAGGCCTTCCCCCGGGCCTGCCGGGAAGGATGGATCGTGTGAGCTCAGCGACCCCAACCAAGGTGCAGAGGACTCACAGGCAGCACAGTTAAAAATAGAGCATGTGGCGGTGACAGGAAGCCACACTGGGTATCTGCAGGGTGCGGGGGACCTGGGGCCAGGGCAGGGCAGGCCCTAAGCCCAGCACCTCATACTGAGCCTCTTGGGGGGCCTCCAGCCCTGGGGAGCCAGGATGGTGCCCCCTTGCCCCCCCAAGAAAGGGGAAGTGGGTCCAGCTGTCCTGGAACCAAGCTGCAAGTACAAAGATTTCTAAAAATATGGTGGGAAAAGAGGAAGAACAAAGGGGAAGTGGAGAGGAGCCAGGGAGCAGCAGTGGGCACCCAGTGGCCGCCCAGGGGGCACCCAGAGGGCCCGAATGCCAGGCAGCTGCAGGTCAGGCACAGAAGTCAGCAGCCCACGGGGCCTGGGGGTGGCACCCAAGACCCAGCACTGAAGGGGGGCAGGCAAGGCTCAGTGGTGTGGGGAGAACGGAAACTGTATTTTCTGCACTATTATCAAAACTGCATTTCCCATGTCTGAAATCCCACCCTCACTAGGCTGAGTCCAAAGTGGTCCCTGCTACCTGAAACTTAGGGGTCCTCATCTCTGAAGTGGGACAAACGCCCCCTTTTTAACGAGCAGTCAGACAGAGGATTTGAGGGCCCTGTGCCCCACATGCCCCATGTCGCAGGCCGCAGCCGGAGACCATCAGCGGTGTGCAGAGGGTTAGGATGTGCCTGGCCAACTGCCACCCCAGAAAGAAGGGTCCCAAATACACCTGCCCACTGGTGTGTGAAGGAAAACACAAGCCACCTCTGAATGTCCCCATGCAGTGCCATGCTGCGGAAAACCAAGATTGTGTCGATTTCCATCCGTAATCTTCCTCAGTTTCCCCAGCTCTACAATGCTGGCTTGGGGAAGGGGACAGAGGCCCCACTACTGGCAATCAGTCTGTACCTCTGTCATTCTCAACTATGTGACTATTCCGTCAGGACATCCGGAGTTAGTGCTGAGTGGGTTTGGACCATTTGTGTAGAGGTAAGAGGAGTGATCAAAATATAGGCAAATGCTTAAATTTTTAAAAATTTATTACAGTAAACCACATTGCCATGAATCTCCTTCAAAATCCTCCCCCTTAGAGACCATTTATCCCATTGTTCCTGCCACTTTGGCAGGGCAGGGGGTAACCGAGGATCGAACCCAGGTCTTCGAGCTTGCAAAGTGAGCAGCAGAACCACTGAGCTAAACCCCCAGCCCTCCTGCCACTTTGGGAAGCAGTCTCTGAAGTCCTCCTTCCTGTCCCTATGAGGTGCAATCAAAGCCACGCTGAGTGAGGCTGCCGAGAGCCGTGCACCAGAAAGGCAGGCTTCTAAAATCGCTACGATGTGTCCTTACCTGCTTTGTTCACCAGACCTGGCATCAGAAGAACTATAAAAACAAACAGTTTGAATTAATTCAAGACCTCAAGGCAGCTACAACAACAGCACAACTAAAGACAGGACAGAGGACTCCAGACCTGGCTCAGAAAGTGGCAATAATGGCGGGACAGGTGTGTTTGAAGAGAGGAAGAATTTTGAGGGGGATCCTTGCGTTTTCACATCTCCCATCCGCCTTCTCAAAGGCACCCTCAGGACTGAGGTCTTGGAGCTCCAGGCTGGCCCAGGACTACCCAGCTCTGCCTCCTCCTGGCTGAATCGGCCCAGGCAGGTCTCCTAGCGCTCATGTGTGGAGTGAGAAGGGAAGACCTTCGCTGCAGTTTCGGGGAGTCCCTGGGAGGAGATGGAACATCCAGGGCCCACAGCATGGCCTGTCCTGCCCAGGGGGCCCCTCTTCACAGCGCCACACTGGTCCCAGAGACGCAGGGCCCAGGTAGGGGCTATGACGGCAGGAGGGAGGTGGACAGAGCTCGTGACAGGGGGTGTTCAGGGCGAGAGCGGGGTGCGACTCGAGCTGGGAGCTCAGGACTCAGGAAGAGCAGGTGGAGCAAAGCTGCGAGGGACCAATGTGGGGCACAGTGACAAGAGCAGCAACGGCTGCAGCACTCGTGTCCAAAGCTCAGAGAAGGAGCTGAGCCCGAACGGAGGTAGGAGCCCCTGGGAAGAAGGAGATGGCCCAGGACTCCGCTACCCAAACTGTGGACCGCCACCCATCGAAACCAAAGCCCAGCTGGCCAAGGTGGCAAACACTTGTAATCTTGGAGGCTGAGGCAGGAGGGTCACAAGTTAGAGCCCAGCACGGGCAACTCAATGACTTAAGGAGACCCTATCCCAAAATAAAATTTGATAAGAAGAAACCTGAAGCCTGGAGCACCTCTTGCCCCTCCAGCAGGTGTGCCCAGCCCACAGGCCAAAGACAGGGAGTTCCCTGCCCCACAGCCAGAGAGGGGTGCATTCCCCATGGGTGGGACCAGCAGGGCCTGGAACTCCAGCTCAGCCACTCCAGAGCCCTTCCAGCCTCAGCCTCACTCCCAGCTGGCATCTGCACGGCTCTCAGGAGTGCCTGTCCCAGCAGGTGTGGGCTTCCTCCTGAGTGGCTGAGAGGTGGTCAGAAAGCAGCTGTCCCTGCCTGGAAGGGTGTCCCAGGAGACGAGCCCGCCTTAAAGCCACGCCGATGTGGCAAGCCTGCCCTCAGCAGGGTCCGCACCCTTGTGCCAGGCACCTGCATCTCACCAAGGCCTCCCATCCACCCTGCCATCTTCACCTGTCTGCCCATGAACACGCTGTCACCTATACGGTGGCCGTCATCACTGCAATGGTGATGGAGCGCAGGAGGGGAATCTGATCCTCAGGCAAGGCTGCAAAGGGCCCGGCTGTCCATGTCCTGGGACCCACCCTTTCTGCCCCTCCTTCCTGACACAGGTGACAGGAAATTACCTGCCAGACTGACACCTGCACCACACCCCAAGGCCCCATGCCTTGCTCTAGCAAAGGTCCCATATCTGGTGCAGCAGCTGTGACCAGCCCGGGGCTTCCCCGGTTAGTCTGTGGGGTCTGCAGCCACCCTCTGAACTGATGGCATGAGAGGGGGTAATGCAGGCCATCACCGGCAACCTGCAGGACCCAGGGTGGCCATAACCCTGCTCTCCCCCTCAGCCTGCACAGTGTTTTCCTCTTCACTGTGGGTTACAGACAGCTCACAGACTTCCCAACAACCTCCGTGCTCCGTGACACCCTGACCCGCGGGCCAGGGTCCGGTATGGGTCAAGCACCCACAAGTCCATCCCAGTGACACCTGTGGACCAGGAAAGTGGCTACAAACCAAGTGGACACACTGTGAGCTGGACCTGGCTGGAGCCTATCAGCCGCCTAAGCGCTATACTCTGAGGGGCCCTGATGACACCCCAGTTCCTAGTGCCAGGGTCGGCCACGTATTTGGAGACCCCTGCTTCCCAGTTTACAGTTACCGGGGTGCTTTAGGGAAGGGGCTGGCTCCTTCCCCTGGTGGAAGTCACCTCGACACGGCATTTCCATCTCCACGTCCCAGCTGGCCGCTCAGAGTGGGTGGGAGCAGGGAAAGGCGCTCGGTGCTTTCTCCGTGTTCACTCGGGGGAGATAAACCTTTGAGCACCGTGACCAGACCCTTTCTCAAGCTAGGACTGGAAGCTCAGGGGGGATCTGGATAGGTGGACGGGAAAGGGCATCTCCAAGGAGAGGAGCTGCCCGAGGCTGGACTAGAAGGCCCTGGTACAGAATGGTGGGAGAAAGGCCGGCTGCAGGGGCTGGGGACACAGGGGAGGTCCGGAGGCAGGAGAGGATTTTCCTCTCAGAAACAGGAAGTCCATGGAAACTTCGGCCAGAGAGCTTTGAACAGAACAGGTCACCCCCCCTTGCACAGAGCACCACACCCACGTGCCTCAGTGAACTCACTTCCAGGTCAGCAAGCACTGGCTTTGCAGCCAGCCCACCCCAAAGTCTCAGTCTGGATCAGCAACCATGTCCCTTTGGGATCTTGTCCAGGTCACTTCACCTCTCTGAGCTGCAGTTTCTGGGGGCAAGGACTGTCAAATGTCTCCCAAATCCAGCATCCCTGTCTTGGAGAGTGAGGATGTCAGGACCATCCTATTAACGGCTCATTTCCCAGCCTCCCCTGCAGCTAGGGTGGCCACATGACTGCGTGCTAGCCAATCAAATGTGAGGCCAAATTTTATATCACTTCCTGGTAAGTAAGTGAATAAATAATAGTCACAGGGGCTGGTGCAGAAGTCTTAGGAGTTCCGGGGAGGACAGTGGCCTTCAGCAAATAAACACATTTTAGTCCTTACTGGTGATGTGGCTACAGCAGTGGGAAAAAAGCAAAAATGATTGAATGACCAAGGAACTGAGTCTCATGGGGGGAAGAGTCTCTGTTTCAGGGGTGGGAGAACCAGAGTGTCCAGGGCAGGTTCTCAAGAGGTCGCACCCTGGCGAGGCCTGGGCGCAGAGATCAATCCAGGCCTGGCATCAGGGTGTCAGAGATGCCGCAGAAGTGGCCAAGGTGAGGGCCTTCTTTCCCCAGAGTCTGCTGAGCTGAGCAGCAGGGAGACAGAGGAACTGCAGAGGATCAAATGGCACCGGAAACAGCTGCTGGAGGACATCCAGGTGTGTGCACACTCAAAGATCCACACACACATGCACGGGACTCCTGAGAGCCACACAGGCCTGCCCGCACACGCGCACACACACACACACACACACACACCCCTCCCAGTCCCTCCTGGCCCAACCTGACCCGGCCCGAGGGGGGCGCAAGAACAGTGAGCATCACTGGGAATTCCAGGGGTGGCCAGGACCCTAGCAGGGTGGGGAGCGGCTGCCCTGTGCACCCACCACATGCTGAGCCCTGTCACCCAGCCTCCGCCCACGCCATGGCACCCAAGTGGGGTCCAGCTGTGCAGCCTCAGTCGGCCCCGCCCCTCACCCGTCTGGGCCGCTCCGTGACACGATGCCCGTTGTGTGCCCAGCATCTGCCAGCTCACTGACTAGGGTTATAAGTTGGGGTGTTGTTGTGGTGTTGGTGGGGTGTTGGAACTGGAACCCAGGGCCACACACATTCTAGGCAAGAGCTCTACCACCGAGCGTGTCCCCGGCCCTCCCAGCCATTTCCCACACACCTGCCTATGTACTCTCAGCACCCTCTAAAACAGGCCTGGGTTTTGTCCCTCGAAGGTGTCTGGCTCAGTCCTGGCCCAGGGCCTTTGTACTCACAGTGCCCTTCTGCCTGAGGCTCTCCCATCTGCCCTCAGGGCTTCTGCTTCTCATTACTTCATTCTCTGCTCAAACTCCCTCTCCTCCTCCAGGCTGCCCTGACTGCCCTGGCTACCGCCGCTGTGTTCCTTCCTCCCACCAACATTCACACACACGAACATATGATCCATACAAAATCATCTATTCAGTTAGTATTTTATTGAGCACTTACTATGTGCCAGTCTCTGTACAATTGCTCACATCATTTTATGCACAATTTCATTTGCCTCATGGCTCCCAGGTCCCCTCCGCACTCTGAAGGCAGAGCCCAGGCCTGGCTGCCCAGTCCAGTCATCAGAGCAGGCAAGCTCTTGGTTCATGCCTAGCAGTGAGTCCCCACTTTATTTGTGGGGATTATGTAATGGTTCAGCCAGGATCGCATGGACAGGAGCCACTTGGGCTCAGAGAAAGGGCTCTTAGGCCCCACGATATTGCTGAATCCCAGGAGAGTCCCCAGGGAACAGCCCATGTCCAGAACCCCACAGATCTTGGGGTGAGTCTCCCTGGGGGTGCTTGCCAGGTGCTCATGTGCTGCCTGCTGGGGCTGTGGGTCAGCTGCCCACCTCCCCGGCTGACCTGTATGTGGCTGGAGGGGCAGGTTAGGGGTCTCCTGTACCACTCTGGGGTCAAAATGACAAAGGCCCAGGGCAGGGTCAGAAAGCACAGGCTGGAGTGAGATCTTGGGCACCTCACTTCACCTCTCTGTGCCTCAGTGTCCCCTTCAGGGCTGGGGATGTAGCTCAGTGGCTCCGCTGCCTGCCTCGCAAGCACAAGGTCCCAAGTTCAATCCCCGGTATCAAAAAGCAAAAACGAAACTATGCCTCAGTGTCCCCTACAACACATTGCAGGCAACCACAAAGTCCCTGTGCCATGGGCCCATGCTCTGGTAGCCTGTGGTGTCTGGCAGGCGGTGGGCCCTGAGAAGGGCAAGGGACGGAGCACAGTGAGGCCAGGGGAGCGAGGCTGACCAAGGGGGGAGCCGAATGGAGGAGGCAGCAGGGAGCCCCAGGAGGGACTGGAGCCTGAAAGGACAGGCTGGAAGGAAAGCCGCCCACAGGTGGAGGAGGGCAGGAGCTGTCCCAAAGCAGTGGGAAGAGAGGGCAAGGATGCAAATAGGGCCCGCCGACCGTGGGCAGAGGAGCCGGGACCAGGGTGGGCACAAAGGCGGCGAGTTCATGGGACTTCAAGGCCTGGGACCTTGGAGGAGGGGCGGTCCTCCTAGGAGGGACCTCGGACTGGGCTGAGAGCGGGCAGAGCCGACCACCCAGGGGCCTGACCTGCGGCCGGACTCCACCCGCCCGCAGAAGCTGAAGGACGAGATCGCAGAGGTGTTCGCCCAGATAGACTGCTTCGAGAGCGGGGAGGACAGGTGAGGGGAGCCGCAGAGGCTGCCACACCCCTGCTCCTAGGGCCCCTCGGGCCCACAGCCCGGTTCTCAGCACTTAACGAACGCCCCGCAGTGGGGAGGCAAAGGGTGCTGCCCCCGGCTTTACAGACCAGGAATCCGAGGCTGCCCGGGAGAGAGCGACTTTCCCCAAGTGGCTCCCCCTGGTGGTGAGCTGGGATTTGCACCCGGGAGTCCGCTTCAGGGCCTGTGCCCCTCACCCCACCTGCTGCCCCACGGCATGTGGCTCCCCCTCCCCGGAATGGCCCTAGGGAGGGGGGCGCGGGGTCCCCGAGCCGCTCACCGACTGCCCTCGTGTCCACAGCCGGATGGCACAGAAGGAGAAGGAGCTATGTATCGGGCGAAAGAAGTTCAACATGGACCCAGTGAAGGTCAGCGGGGGACAGGGTGAGGGCTTCACCCCGGGCTCCCTCCGAGCACCACCTCTCCCCGTCTTTGCACAGTGGCACCCTTAGATCTAAGGCTGGACCCCAAAAGATGTTCTCCTGTTCGTCCTGAGGTCTCACCACCGCCCCCTGTCGACACAGAGGCTCCCCCTCCGGAGGGGCTCAGAGCCAACCCTCAGGACGGGCCAGCCGTGGTCGCCCCGAGCTGTGGGGACAGAGATGGGGAGGTCACCCGCCCACACTCCGAGGGCGCAGTGTGAGCGCCAAGCTGGGGTCCCTGGCAGTGTCCGGCTACAGCTGCAGCTGTCTGTACCCCAACCCAGCCCAGAGGGACACCGCGTTCACGGTCAGTCACAGCCCCGGGTCCTGTCCGCATCCATATCCCCCACATACACCTCTCGGACCCCACCTGCCACCCCAGACTCCGGAAGTCAGACCTTCTGGACCCCGGGGGACTTGGGCTGTTTCCTGACCTTTTGATTTAGCTCTTTTCCTTCCTCCAACTTCTATACAATGGACATGGAATACTCGTGTGACAAAGAGAAACACTATTTTTAAATAATGTAAGTTTGTAACAAAAGAAAAGGCTGAATCTTAGAATTATGAAGCATAGAATAGAATTATTGGAGCAAAGGCTGCCAGGCTGAAGGGGACCCCAGGGAGCCCCTGGCAAGAACCTGGTTGGTCACAGGAACTTGCACGCCTCCAGGGATGAGGAGCTCACCACTGCACAAAGGCATTTCCTATTAAGGAGAAACAAATTGCCAGAACAGGCTGTGCTGCCCCAGAACAAGGGCCCCCGGGCTCCCGCCTTCCCC